CTCATCACTCACTCACTCACTCACCACCACCACCACCACCACCACCACCACCACCACCACCACCACCACCACCACCATCATCATCATCATCATCATCATCATCATCATCATCATCATCATCGCCATCATCATCATCATCATCGCCATCATCATCATCTTCATCATCTTCTTCATCTCCATCATCGTCATCCGATCATCATGATCTCCATCATCAATGTTATCGGCATCGGCATCATCCTCTTTGATCTGATCGTCTTTATTCTTGCCTGGTTCGATCGAATTTGATCGCTGAGTTCTCCTGCCATGGCAGTGCTACCAGAGGCTTTTTGTTTGCCAACTATGACAACCCTTGTCACTGACGATGACTCGGAAAAGGCTTCGGAAATAGAGCCTCGGACTCCCCGGGGCGGAGGCGCTAACTGAGGCTTTCCGACACTGGCAGTTACGGTAGCATAGTCACCGTTAGGCCGCATCATCACAGTGGCACCCAGCGTTAGAAACTCCGAGCGGAGAGACTACTCACCCAGGGCAAGGGGCCGGTCACCGTGGCCGGGCACGCCCGGCCGGTCGGATCGGACTCGGCGGTCACCGACCCGGCCCGAAACGCGCGGCCGATATAACTGAACAGTGCCAGTGCGTCGAAGTCATGCCACGGTCCGGGTCATGACTTCGACGCACTGGGCGGCGATCGGACCGTCGGTGGGCTGGCCGGCGGCCCGGCCCCGGCCGGCTCAGTAGGCTATCACTGATAGTACTATCATAGTATACAGTCCGAGATGCGGCTTCCGAAGTTCTCACAAGCTACCGTATGATCGTCATCATTCCAGGCTCGACGGTGATCGTCCGATCATCAGAGTCTTCCGAAAGCACAGCCGCCAGTGAGAGCGGGCCAGCCTGGGCCGCCCGGGCCGGCCGGGCCCGCAGTCACTAAGTGCCGCCCCCCGCCGGCAATGCCGATACGGTCTTGACTCATGATGGAATCACGCCGGAGTCCGGGGGTCAGCCCTTGTATATCGGATCGCCCCGCGGGGAGTCGTCACGGCGGACCGCGGGACCCGGCCGGGCAGCCGCCGCGCACCGTACCGTCACTGCCGTAGTACGCCGAGCCCAGGCTTCAAGCTTGCCGGCACTGCAAACGGTTCCTCCGGGTCGGAGGCAGCGGCTCGGACGGTGCCCGGGCCGCCGGCACTGGTGACCGTGGCACTACTTGCCGAGAAGGTCGCGTCAGATTGAGCTTCTCACCGCGGCGGCCATTCAATCGGATAGGCCGGGCCCCTCATCCCCGACCAACCTCAGCCGAGATTTTTACTCAGCATCTGACAGTCACAGCTACCTGGTTTTCCTCTCCGCGGCCAATCCTACCAGCCTTTTTCGGCACTCAGGGCTACTACATGGTACACGATGCTCTCTGTCGCGCACGCACATGTTGCCTGTGCAGCGAGCCTCTTGTACTCAGTTTGCTGTGTTTGCTGATGAGAGATTGCCGACTTGATTTGTTGATTGGATGTTTCCAGGAGCAAGAAGATTGTCCTCTTTCGAAGTCAAATGACCTCAGCCAACTTGACGACGTGAGGGCACCTGTGAGTCAGGAAGACTCAGGATTGAAGTCAGAGGTAAGAGACGAGCAGAACATCGCCATCTCCTCAGAGCCCACAGCCGCCACAAACTCGGGCCAAGGCAGCAGGCCACTGCCTCGCTTTTGGATTTATGAAGATCGGGGCGACAGGCTCGACATGGAGGATACGCATGTGGCGCAGTTTAGCTTCCACAACGACAAACACGTGTCGGGGTTTTCGACGGACACTCTGGTGATCGCGCTGCCAAGCTGCTGAGCACAGAGATCGTAGGGATACTGAGGGACCAGATCATGCAGAGTTCGGGCCCTCAAGACAGCGCATTGGGAGCCAGCCTGACAAGCAGCTTCCTTGAGGCCGAGAAGAGAGCGCTAGCACAGCCTTGGGACGATGGCAGCTCAGCAATCCTGGCAGTGATCGATGGAGATCGTCTCTTCGTGGCGAATGCTGGAGACTGCCGGGCGATCATCTGCGGTGAGGGAGAGCCCATGCCAATGAGCACTGATCACGACCCGTCTGAGCCCGAGGAACGGAAGCGCATCGAAGCCAACGACAAGGCGATTGAAAGCTATACAATCAACGGAAGGTCCATCAACCGAGTCAGAGGGCTCGCCATGTCTCGATGCATAGGCGACAGAAGTCTCAAGCAAAAGCACGATTACGCCACAAGACTTGGATGCCCATAGATGATTGCATCATACCAGACCCTGAGATAAAGGAGCTCTTGCTCACGAAGCAGCACAAGTTTCTGGTGATTGCCAGCGACGGATTATGGGCAACCGTGACAAACGAAGCTGTGGCTCGGCGTCTCGACACCCTGACGGAAGAAGAGGATCCGGCAGAAGAGTTGCAGAAGCTCATCGATCGACGCGAAGACAACATCACAATTGTGGTCGTTGACCTGCGAGGGCATGCGTGAATGGAGACCAGCACAGTATGGGCTAACGCCAGCCTCCCGACGGCACATGCGACAAGATGACACAGGTGCACGCTGCGTGGTTGCTGAGCTGTTGAAGGCGCGGGGAGGTTGACATGAGTTGAGTCTGGTGGTTCCCTTGGTATTCCATGAAGCTTGACTACACCCCGACCCTCTGACTCTACTCGCGCATACTGTCCGTTGCCTCCTTGATCTCGGATGCCGACACCGTCATGGCCTGGAGTCGGACCGCCGGTAGTACTCCGGGAGCTGGCAGGTCCGGGCCTGACACTGAACGTCCGGGAGTCGCCAAGGCACACCTGAGGGTGGGTCCGGATCATCACATGAGATTTACTAAGAGATCGGAAGTTTCTAAGCCGTCCTATAGGATCAGAAGCGGTTGGTCTCGAAAGACCCGCGGATAGTGACGCTTGCAAGAATTCCCTGAGAGAGAGAAAATGAGACGAAAGAAGAGATAGGAAGAGGAAGGGAGGAGAAGGGAGCAGCGAGGAGAAGGGAAGGGGGGGAATGTGGTAATACTCTGATGTCATACCTGCCTGACAAGCTCGTCGGAAATTCCAAACTCGGCAATCTTGGAGGGGTTGAGGATTCTTTGAACAACAACAGGGTCCGTCTGTCAGAATGATTGTTAGCTCCATCATGAAGCAGCGAGAGCTTCTCCTCCATTCTTAGCGTTGAAATGGTCAAAGCAATCACTTGTGCTACCACTTCACTTTCATCATCATCATCATCATCATCATTCTCCATCGTCATCATCATCATCATCATTGTCAGCAGCAGCAGCAACTTCGGATACCTGGATCTGATATTCCTCCCGAAGCATCTTCACTGCCTTTCCAACTGTGTTGACCCCGTAGAGTACCCGGTCATCCTTTCCCTTGCCTCCGATGACGAGGTTGGGCCCGTTGCCGCAGTTGCCGGTACATCCGCATCGAGTGACGCTTAACTCGGGCTGGAAGGAAACGTGACAAGGCAGCATAGAAGAGCAAGGAGCAGTTGGAAGAGGAGGCGAGTGCAGAGGACAGGGAAGTAAGAGCGAAGTGCAGAAGAAGAGGGGAGCGGAGCAGGGAAGTAGGGCAGGAGAGGAAAGGAGAAGAAGCGAGCGAGCGAGCGAGTGAGCGAAACACTTTCGTGGGGGTCAGGGAGCAGAAGAGCTGAGGGAGGAGGGAGCATGCCGCTGGCTTTCCCTACCGGCGTGAGCTCCTTGAGCCATCGGATCACGTTCTTGGCCCCCTGCTTGCTGCACGGGCCGTCGCTACACACCTTGATCACCCCGCCAGCGTCCTTGTACCGCCTCTCCTGCTCCTCCCCTGACAGACTCGCCCAGTCTGCGTCTCTGTCGGGGATCGGCCTCACCATCTTCAGCTCCACCTCGCCCTCAGCAGCGACCAGGGTCTCCATGACCCTGTCGAAGCCCTCGGTGCGGACTAGCTTGCCGTTGATCCGGACGATCTGATCGCCCACCTGCAGCTTGCCGCTCGTCTCCGCGTTTCCTCCCTCCTTGAGAGACCCGATCTTCACCGCCCCCTGCGGGTACTCCGCCTCTTCCATCACAGCGCCCAGGGGCTTCTGAAGCTTCACGGTGAAGGTCGGGGGGCAGTTCCTCTGGATGAACTCCTTCATGTCCGTCACTTCCGCGGGGGTGAACTCGTGCCCAACCCCAGGGTAGACGTTCCCCTCCGCCGGCATATCCATGTCTAGGAGGTATTCGAATGCCTTCCTGCTCCACTCAACCTTGGCAATGGGATCGACCTCTCCGTGGCAGAGCATGACCGGCAGCTTCTTGTTTGCTGCCAAGGCGTCAGAAGAGGAAGGGCAAGCTGCGAGAGGAGGAGACGAACGGAAACGAGAAGGAGAGGATGGGAAATGTTGTTCGAGGCGGTGCAGGAACAAGAACAGGAGCAACAGCAGGAGCTGGAGGAGCAGGCAGACGGCTTGCCTGGAGTGGGTTGGTCGGCAACTCCACGAGGATACCACGAGCTTACAGCCATGACTCCTCCTAGCTCTTGCTCAAACTTCATGGCGGCCGCGATCGCAACACACCCTCCCTGTGAGAATCCTCCCAAGATAATTCGCTCGCTACAAATACAGTGAGGACGTTCCAAGACGGACATACCGATATCTCGCAGCAAGGAAGGGAGAGGGAAGAAGGAGAGGAGAAAGGAAAGCTGGAAGGTGTGGGGGTGGGTGTTGGGGGGGGGTTCAGAGAGAGGGGGAGGAGGGACAGAGGCCACGCAGGTGGGTAAGTGGAAAGTAAAGAAAGGGGCAGAACCTGGGGGTACCGGACTCAATCTCTGCCTTCACAAGCGAGTGAATGTGGTCAATGCTTTTCTGTATCCCCTCCACGTCCGATCTGAGCTCCTTGACCCCCAGCCCCGTAATGTCATACCAAGAGTTCATAGTCGCTCCCTCTGCTCCCCACCAACACGTCAGGGCCTTTTGCAAGGAGCTTCGCTTTCTCACCGCAGATGGTGGATGGCTGTCTTGACGCTGTTGGAAACACAAACTTCGCCCAGGGAACGGAGATGGCTGAAGCAAGCTTCGTCCACTCCTTCCCCGAGTCTCCTAGTCCGTGCAGCCAGATCACTGTAGCAGTGTGCTCCTCCGCCGCATCCACGACGAAGGACTTGCCGTACTGCGCATCGGTAGAGGAAGCTTTACAGATGCAATGTCAGTCAGGTCGCTGGCGGCAATAGAGGAGCAGGACTGTCCGCAAAGGACGATGGCAGGGAAAGACAAAGGTCACTTACCCATCCTCAATGGCACGGCTGCTTTCCGCGCAGCAGGGGCGTTCACCCTATAGGAGGCCTTGTTCGTCCATACTCTCTTCGCCGTCAGTCTACTGCTCATCGTCGAGCTCATGAACGCTGACGAGCTCGCGACGAGCGCCGCCAGCATAACATACTGCATTGCCATGTTCCGCCTTATATCTTCTGCCACCCCCCACCCTACTACCCTCTAATCCCTGAGTCCTCTACTCCTACCCACATCAAATACCCTGCAAGGTACGGTCTTCTGACTCCCGGAGTCCTGTGCCCGGGGCCCGGTGACTGAGAGTCGGACCGCCCGGCCCGGGGTCTCCGCCGGGGCGGCGAGCTCGCCGCCGAGCCTCGGAGCCTCAGAGGCGGGGCCGGGCCGGGCCCCGGGCGCCGCACTCACTGAAACCGGTGACCGGGCAGTACTCCGACTTCCGAGTTCCGAAGCCCCTCACCGTCACTGTCAGCGGGGCCGGGCCCCCGGCGGCGCCCGGCCCGCCTCACGGTGCCGCATTGCCGGGACCCGGTGACCAGTGTCCGACCGTACTCCTTTACTCAAAGTTAAGTTAAAAAGCAGTACGAGGACAATCAGGAGAGTCGAGGAGGCTTGACCCTGACACTGTCCGATCGAACAGTAGTACGGCGGTCGTGACGGTGATCGGACGGTCACTGTGATCGGACGGTACGGTCACGGTGCCACCAAGGCTTGGCAAGGCGCGGCGAGTCATGCCGTCCGGCGACTGAAAGGCCTACCGTACCGGGCGGCATCCGTCGGTAGGAGCCTGTGAGGATCGGACCTCGCGCGGCGATGATTGGCCACGGGCCTTCTTTAGTAGTCGATTCAAAAGGGCTGCGGTGCCCGGCTACTACCGTACTAACTTCTGAGGTCACCTTGCACTGAGGGGTGAACTGAGACAGAAGTTCATCAACCGGGTTGCCTCAGTCTCTGCTACTCAACGTTGAGCACTGAGAGAAGCTGGAGTGGTGTGCCAACAGGAATCGCTGACGCTCGAAAAGTTTGGCTCGAATACTGAGGAAACGAAGACACTGCAGGAGGGATGGGGCCGCGGGCACACATGCTGCTGGGCTGGGATAAAACTTGAAGCGCACTGCCAGACGTCCCGAATAGATCGGGCCGCGGGCGATGGGAGCCAGTCGTTGTCATACCGCGACAGCATCAAGCTGCGCCAAGGAGCTATCACCCCAAGTACCTGTGGGTGTCCATCAAGGCAACCATCATAAGTCAGCGCGGTAACTGATTGCTACGCTGTAAGCTGACACATCAGGCATATTGGAGGAATGTGCTGAGCGCGCCAAAGGGTAACGTTTCATCTTCCAAACACACTCGATGCCCTCCCCTCGATCCTTTTACCCATCACATCCTTCCACTCATTCCTCCGGCTTCGAGGCTTCAAAAGCCCAGGTGGGGGCAACCAGTGGTAAAACCTTACCTTGATGAAGTGTACACCTCTGCTTCTTCGATCCATCCACCAGATAGACCATCGGATCATTCGCAAACGGTGGCGATCCTCCTACATAGCACCCTGGCGGTTCGTTTAGTAGAAAGACTTGGCCATGGAGCGATGTTGAGATCTCGAGCATCAGGTTCGTCAGTGCTTCTGCAACTGACCTCTCATCTAGACCAAAGTCGTACTGGGCCAGGTCCTGGCACACTTGTTTTGAATGATTGCTCAGGCTTAAAGAGTCCTTGCCCATCAGTAGGTGATTGCGTACAGTTTTCCTGATGCCTTTGCGTATGCTTATATTGCGGTGGATTCGTAGCATGCCGATCTCGATCAAATCCCTATTGTTCAGAGTTGCAACGCGTTCTGCTTCGAGGCAGGCTAATCTTTCAGAGAGTCGAGCCATACGTGTTGAGTAGAGATCCTCACGGGATATCTCCCGTCTTCTGTACATGTTTGTCAGCCTTACGATTTGATTGTTCTTCTCTTCACGGATAGCTTCAATCTCTTCAATCAGCCTTGCATGTTCATTGCCCTTCAGTTCACTGATAATCTCCTTCACTTGGGCCAGCCTTGCAATTTCATTGCGCTGGTATTCAGTCTCTCCGAGTGCTCTCGCATAAATCATAGTCAACATCGTGTCGTGATCTTGTTTGTTTGTTCGTTGTTCGTCAGGGGGTCACTGGTCTTGACATGCCAGTACAACTTGGCATGGACAAGAGAACCTCGCTGGTGCTACTGGCCAGGAGGAGCAGGCGGCGGCGAGGAAAGGGGTGAGGGTGCATGGAACCAGTTTTGTCGGGCGGTGAACTGGCTTCCAGTTGTGGTAGAGTTGATTTTTAAGACAGATTTGAAATTACTTGGAGATAATTCAAATGTTTGAGCATCAAATTTGAGGTCTGTCAATACGTGGGTCAAAGTCACAGTCTGGTGGGGGCGTCAAACGGGGTTGGGGTACCCTCACCCCCTCCATGCCTACTACGACCCCATCCTTCAGCCTCTCTCGAAGTCAAAAGCTCAAGACAAGGGGGTGGGGTGGGGGATCAAAGCGCGACCTAACATGGAGCGGAGGGAGCGGATCCGTCGAGGGTGCGTCTTGCTGGAAGATGCGTTCAAAGGTGAGGCAGAGCGACTGATGGCTAAGCATGCTTCCTAGCAGCTCCGCCTGCTACTTCCGCTTCCTTGTGCGAAGCTCTTCTCCTCCATGGTGCATGATGACGCTCTGCCATGTTTTGTTGCCTCTGGCCGTATATTTGACCTAGAGAATGTCCGAGGGTGTCTCGACATGCAGGCGATGTCTTGGAAATGTGTGACGAATAGACGAAAGAACATGACGAAGTTGACTGTTTGCAACGAATCTTTTCTGCTAAGAGGTTTTCTCCCCCGAAATGATTGTGAGGACGGAGACATTCCCTCATGATATCATTTGCTATGCTCTTGCGCTATTGCGCAAAGTGCTGTTGTGATGCGAGCCTGTCGTTTGAGTTGTGTTCGCTACAGGGCGAGGTAAGTATGGACTGTTCTCCCTGCTAGATGCCCCGGTCTGGAGACAGGCGGTTTTCCTTGTAAGAGATCCGTGTTTTGTGATGCCCCGGCCCTGAGAGCTCTGCTTGCTAGTTGTACTCGAACAAGTGGTGGGAGTATGCAGTGCTCGTGGCCTGCTTCTGTCACTCTCTTACCATCTTCTGGGAATCACGTGAGTTGAGAATCGACCATCTCTGTCAGCTGGGCTGCAAGGGTTGTCTGACCCGTTTCCCCTCCTCACAGCCAACCATCTTACTTCCTGGAACTTCCAACACCTCGACTCTCTCATGGTAGCATGAACGATGTGCTTTCCTGCGCTCCCTGCTGCTTCGACGAAGAGATGGCGCATGCACTTATGGCTTGGTCAGGTCATGAGAGTAGAGTTCGCCTGCATCGTGATATACACCATGGACATCTCCATGAAGATCATCTGGTCCTCTCACTGTGGTCTGAAGCCCGGGGTATGTGCCCTGATGTAACCTGCCATGTGACATCTGAGAAATCTTGCAGGAGAGGGGTTGGCATTACATTCACACACTGATCGTCGTCCTGTTCATTGTGCGACCGGTCTGCTCTTCGCTGTGCGGGCAGTGACGGTTGTTGCTAGCTCGACTACTATCTCTTCATCAATCAGATCTGTGGACTCCGGTTTTCAAGGCCTTTCCGTCTCGTGTACATCACAAGCAAGGTCAGCAACGAGCTTCACTTCTGTTCGTTCGATATCTTATCGGTGCAAATCATGAAATCTGTTGCAATCCATGAACCAGCAACATTGAATGACTTGAAATCCTCATTTTGCGAATGACACGGTTGACCCTGCGCCTTCTAGCTACCCGAAGTTCGCTTCCTCGCCTCTTTCCTCCCGGTCATGTGCGTCAAGTTGGCCACAAGGTGAGGGGAAGGTTCACGTACTCCTCTGACTGCAAGTAGCTTCTCCGGCCCATGGATCGGCTTCCTTTCCATCTTCGGTGCTATCTGTGTCAGGCTCTACGGTAGCGACAGCAGGGAGCTGACTCTGACCTCGCTGACGTGATATGTCGCGTTTGCTGGACAGGAGCTCTTCCAGAAGACCAACAGCTGGATCTTGAAGGAGACAGGTTGGTGAAGGGCGGAAGGAGTGGAACAGATATGGAAAGAAGAGGAGAAGAGACTTGAGGACCGGAAGGAGGAGTTGAAGGAGGACAGATAGGAGGAGGAAGGATGGAGAAAGTAGCAGGAGGCGTGATTGGGCGGAGGAGTGGACAGGCAGGTACTGACCGCTCTCGATCCAGCATGTCGCACATTCTCCCGACATATCGTCTCCTGTTCATGCTCAGCACCCTTGACAACTTTGACCCGGTCGTCGTTCAAGTGAGTTGTGGAAGTCGAAGCAGGGAATAAGTCTCCTGCGACCGTTCTGATTCATCACAGACTTTCCGTCATCACCCTGCCTCCCTCCTGCTGTTCGGGGTGAGCGAGGAACCTTGCCTGGCGAGTTCTCTGACAAGAAAACAGGTCTTTATCACTTTCGTTGGCTTCTACCTCATGTCCATGGTGCTCGGAATGGTGAGTCGCAAGTGCAGGATACGATGAAGCTCTTCGCACAACTGGAGAATCTGAAGAGAGAGGAGGAGAGGGAGGGAAGCGAGGAGAGGTCCAGGGGGAAAAGAAAGAATGTGCAGGCGCAGGCGCAGGCGCAGACGCAGGCGCAGGATCAGGAGCAGAAGCAAGAGCACGAGCAAGAGCGGGGACAGGGGCAGGGGCTTGAGGTGTGAAGGGCTTGTCTGACGTTGCTGGTCAGGTCGGAGACCTCTACGGCGAAGAGAGCGACAAAGATCTCACGGCACAGAAGGAGGAGCGAGATAAAACGATTGAGGTCGGCAAGGAGAAGAGGAGAGGGGGAGGGAGGCTGGAGTGGAGAAGCTTGGGGATTGAGGGGGGGAGGCAGGAGCAGGGACAATAATGAAGTTGGGGTGTTTGAAGAGGAGGAGGAGGAGGAGGAGGAGGAGGAGGAGGAGGAGGGAGGAGGAGGGAGGAGAAGGATCTTCAATCAGCGACAGGCGCAGGCGCGAGAGGTCGGCGAACTCAAACCTGCAAGGACGGTGAGCGAGTGTGTGAGAGGCAGGAGGCTGAGCTGACGTCCTGCTGAGGTACTGGTGGAGGTTCAGCTGCTGCAGCCACTTCAGAACTTCCCTCCTTATGGTCTTGATCCCGAGGTAGTGATGATGATCGAGGATGTCGCAGGGAGCATC